AAAAGGAGCTTAATAAAGATCTTAATGATTGCATGGACTAATAGCCTCCATAAAGTTTGCATTTTTATGAACATGGGGCCTAAATGGAGCTAAGATCTAGCATCCATTGATTCTAGAGTAGATCAAAAGCTCAACTTTAACTCAAAAGACTAAAAATGCAATAATAACACCATAAACTAGATCTAGCACATATGACCATCAAGGTGAGAGCTTTTTACCTCAAAAGGCTTGCAAAGGTGAAGGTAATTCTGGATCTACAAGCTCAAGCTATCCCTCCAAGCAACCACCAAGAGTTCTTCTTTTTATTCTTTCATTAAAACACCACCAAAATCACACTTACAAGCTCAAACCTCACAAGAGGCACTTTGGTTTTCGTTTTCAGGGTAAGGGGAGATAGAGGCCGGTCAAACATGTCCAAGAGGTGCTATAATGATGTTTAAATAGGGTGCAAACCCTAAAAAATAGGGTTTACCCATGCACCACGTACGCCATGCATACTCTACGTAAGCCCTACGTACGTGGGTGAAACCCACGATCAGGAATGGGCTAGTACGCTAAGCGTACTCATAGAGTACGTCCCACGTACTAGCCAGAGACCAAAATGTTAACAAATTTGCATTAAGGGCTAAAAGGAAACTTACCAAAACTCAAATGTTACAGTATCTATATATATAATGCTAAACTCCTCATTATCTAGAGTATTCATATTTGAACTTGAATGCTAGACCTTTAATCACCTTTACCTTTTTTGATTGAATGTTAAGATTTTCTACGGGCGACTCAACCAGTTTGGGGGCTCTAAGCAAACAATAAATTTGGGGCCCTTTGGCATTTACTATACTTAATGTTATAAACCCTCCTTCTTTATCCACACTTGGGACCCCTGATTCGTAGTTCCTCTTACACATGATTTATTGATTATTTGATTAGTAATAAAAATCTCCAAGACAACTACAAATGAACAAACAATAAACTGGAAGCAATGGATTATGGATGAAAGGAAATGTATGTTGCTTACCTGCTTGACATAGTGAGTCAAATGGAAAACTCAAATCTGAAAATTCAAATTCGTTCCAAACACTTGAGCAGCCCCTCGATGACAAACATGAAAAAGTTGTAAGTCAGTGAAACATCTAGAAATCTATGAACAAATTCTCTAATTTCTAACCGGTGTTTTCTAATCTAATCTCAAATTCATCATCTTTTTTCTTTCTATATTATGATCTTCAACTCAATCGAAATACTATTTGTATCTATATTCATATTTGTATATAGATAACAGATTACAAAGATCTCAAAAATAATGTATTTTTCTCAGTTTCAACTTTTTGAATGGTGATATGTGGAAAAAAAATATAAGAAATATGCATATGAACAATTTTTATTAGTTTCAACAATTTGAATCATTGAATGGCGATACCAGGGTCGACCTTACCCTGCTTGATACAACAATCATCGATATATTCTATATTATACTCTTAAAGACAATGTATTTGAAACATAAAACTAAAAAGATAAAATATTTGTGTTCTTACAATCGTCAAATCTCAATCAAGAATCAGAGAATCTAAGAATGGACTGAGAAGGAAGAATAGAGAAGGCTATTGTTGTTGGCTGCGTTTTAGACTTTCACTGATTCAGTCTTTCATTTTTCAATGAAGAATCGAGATTAGAGGGACAGGAGGAGATCAGTAGAATCTGAGAAGGAAGAACCGAAGAACACTAGAACAAATGCTTTTTGTGGAAAGCTGGAAATCAAATCGTCGCTACTCGCTACTCGCTTGTGCCTCGTGGAATTGTTGAACTGTACTAGAATTACTAGAATGGGGACCCCTAAGCTCTTGCTTTGTTCCGCACAAGGTAATGCCAACCCTGGGATTTTCACATTTTCACAGGTAGAAAGTTAAATAAACCCTTCCAAAGAAGCGGCAAGGGTAATACCCAGGGTGGCCTAGAACAATCCATGTTTCTGAGTTGAAGTTGCAGAGTCTTGACCCTTTGGTAATGATTGTTTAGGTTTAGTTATATATCGTTTTAGTGTAGTAATTATCTTGTTGGGTAAATGGTGAAAATTAACAAAAAAATCATTTTCACATGAAACACAAAAGCAAATGGTTAACACTTTTACCCATGAACACAAATCTTTATTTCTGAGTTCAATTGATGTTGGATTCTTATCGAATTGTGGCATTTTCTTAAAACCATCTCCAACTATACGTTGGTTTTTTATATAGTTTTGACGTGAAAAAATGCAAATAATATTTCATCTCCAACCATATATAATTTTTTACATCACAAAATATACTCCTTATCAAATTCCTTTTTTAAACTTATAGAAATCATAAAAACACCTTTCAATTTATTAGCTTCTTTCTTATTTATTTACATCTTTTTTGTGTTAAAAAATTTATAAAATATATTATTACATAGTCATAACCAAATTATTTGTATATTCTTAATCTCAATTAGATGTTATTTTATTAAAGCTAGTAAAAACCCTCGTACTACGTTGCGGGTTTGAAACAGTTTAGTGTTCGAGAAATTGTAACATGCAAGTTTTAAGATCGATTATTCTATTCTTTTTCTACATACAATGAGGTCAAAAATAGAAAGAGGAGGATGACTCAGCCAGGAGGTCGGAAGTTATCAAATGTTGGGGCAAAAATGCAAAAAAGGAAAATTTAGTATTCATAATTGGTCTTAGGGACTAAAAGTGTCAAATTGGGCAAAGAATATATATATATATATATATATATAGATATATATATATATATATATATATATATATATATATAGGGTGAGGTTCAATAGAGAACCATAATTAACCAAGGAACCAATGAACCAATCTTTTTTTTCAACTTTTACAACTTATTTTTTATCAAAAAAAAAAAAACTAAAAATACAGAAATTCATAACTTTTTATCATTTTTCCAATGATATCAAATTCGATTTTTTTTACGTCAAATTCACAATGTGAATCTTTGAAAATTCACAACGTGAATCCGGATTCACACGGTGAATCCGAAAAATATTTTTCACATTCACAATGTTAATATATGAATTTAGATATTTTTTTACCACTTGCGTTGTAGTGACTTGGTAAGGCATGTGGAATATATGGTGGATAACCTATTGACCCATGTTCAAATCCTGGCACCACTCAGCCCTTGTGGCCATGGAGGTTCGTCTGCAATGACTCCAGGGCATGAGGCAAAGCCTCATGTTTGCAGCGGGGGATTAGTCGGTGCGCGAAAGGTGGCCCGAAAACCCTCGTTAGGGAAGTTCCCTTTCCAAAAAAAAAAATTAGATATTTTTAGATTTTTTTTCGATAAAGAATAAGCTCTAGAAATTGAAAAAAAGATTTGGTTCCTTGAAGAACAAATAATTATGGTTCTCTATTGAACTTTTCCGTATATATATATATATATATATATATATATATATATTATATATATATATATATATATATATATATATATTATATATATATATAGGGAAGGGTTATTTGGAAAACAAAAAAACCCTAAAAAATCATAAAAATACATAAAAAAAATACTTAGAGATTACAAAACTTTTTTTTTAATTTTTTTATAAAAAATCGCAGGTTTTTTAATAAATTCGCTGAAAAAAAAATTTAAAAATCAAATTTTTTTTTTTTAAAAAATTTAAAAAAAAATCAACGAATTTATTTAAAAACATGCAATTTTTTAATAAAAAAAATTCAAAAAAAGTTTTGTGATCTCTAAGTATTTTTTTTATGCATTTTTATGATTTTTAGGGTTTTTTGTTTTCCATAGAACCTAAACCTATATATATATATATATATATATATATATATATATATATATATATATATATATATATATATATATATATATATAGGTTTAGGTTCTATGGAAAACAAAAAACCCTAAAAATCATAAAAATGCATAAAAAAAATACTTAATTAATGTCAATATAATATATATAACATAATAATTATCATATTACTTATTCGTGATATGCCTATTTATATATTATAAATATAAACATGAAAGACGAAGGACTAAAAGTGACACATAAAAATGTTATATCAGTTTGTCGTAAAGAAATAATATAACACCAACTTTGTTGTTATACTACAAAAAACGATGTAGGAGATGCCCTTAGCGGTGCAACTAGTTTACATCCAAGGATTGGTCTATATTTTAATCTCCTGAGATTTATGCACAAACAAGTCTTCGACTTTTCAAGTGGTCTTGAGATTATTGGACGTTTGAGATCTAAAAAAATATACTAAAATGATACATAAATTAAAAAAAAGAAAAAGCTTAGGAAGAATCCGATGTCTTGGGTCCCAAAACATTATAGTAAATATTCTAATAGTAGAATGTTACAAATAATCTTATGCCTTCGGTCCCCCAAGGGGAATCAGATTTCAGGAATGGAAAACGGTTAATGTCATAAAGGGTAATACACTATTTGTTTTTGTTTTTACAAAATATCATTGTTCTAAAAAATATCATAAATGGGTAACAAACTATTTGTTTTTGTTCATAAAATATCATTGAAATAATGATATTTTGTGAGGAGTAAGACATAAAGATAAATAAAAGTGAGCACTAAGACATAAAGATCAATCAAATGTAGCGAGTAAATCAAAGTGAGCAATAAGACATAAAGATAAATAAAAGAGCCTCAAAATCCGAGACTCTTCAAAAGAGATAGAGACAAATAATGGGGAGTAAGTAAAATGTGAACACTAAAACAAAAGCGAAACTCTACCTAGTTTGATTGATTACCTTAATGATGAATCATGGACTTGTACACGTGAAATTAACAACCAGAATCTTATTCTAGTCCATAAAAATAAGTTATCACATTAAGCATTTACCTTGAATAGATGTACACGAACAAATGGAGTGCAACTATAAAAGATCATACAACCTTTATGCTTCCAAGTACTTTTCATTAGTTTAAAAACTAACGGTTCAAATTCATTAGCAACTACAAATAGAAAAAAGAATCCTATACCATGTTATGATCTAAAACAGATCTCCCACTCCTGAATTCAGTTTGCAATCTGTATATATATACACACACATACATATATGTATACAAGAACTCAAATTATACTCAAGAAACAAGAACCATGGGAGCTCAGATTTCCTCACAACAAAGATCAGATGATGGAAAAGTAATTTCGGTTCATTCTTTAGATAACTGGAATACACAATTTCAAAGCTCTAGAACATCCAACAAACTGGTAAGAAACCTTAGTATGATTTCTGACTATGATTTATATGATATTTTGAGAAGATGATTGAATTTCTACATACCATGGAACCTGTAGATGGTGATTGATTTCTCAGCAGCCTGGTGTGGCCCTTGCAAGTTTATCGAACCTGCTGTTCATGATTTAGCAGTTGAGTTTTCAGACGTGGAGTTTATCAAGATCGATGTCGATGAGTTACCTGTAAGTTGTTCAATTCCTGATGATTATGATTGTTGAAATTAGGATTAGGGTTTTTGAATTTTTGAAGGATTTTGGAATGAACAGGATGTCGCTAAGGATTTTGAAGTACAGGCGATGCCTACGTTTGTATTGGTGAAGAAAGGGAAAGAACGTGAAAGGATTGTTGGGGTTAAGAAAGATGAACTTCAGAGGATGATTGAGAAACACAGGTTTTGAAATCGATACATGTGTTAATGATATACAACAAATCACGATTGCGCTATTTTAATGTTTGAATAAAGTTTTTAAGTGCTTTCATTCTATACAACATATATTGTGTGACTATTAATAAAAGTATTTGAGTGTTGATTAAAATGTGTATAAGATGATTTTTTGGTAATAAGAAACTAAATTTCAGATTGACGACTACTTCAAAAAGAGTAAGTCCATTTCCGATTTAATTGTTACTGTTGTTGTGTATGAATTATGGAGAAGACATTAATCAAGTATGATTACACCTTCTAGAATGAATTTTTTATCAACTAAAAGCACTTGGTTTACGTAACTTTATAATTGAAGATCTAAAGCTATAATAAAATCGGGATTAATACTAATACTATATGAAAAGGCCAACTTTATATAACAAGCTAGTTGATAAAGTAACAGAACTAATACACTTATAAAATTGACATAAAGATGTAAAGGAAATGAACATGTTATAGTATATATGGAAAATTTATGGAAAAACCCTTATAACTTATTAATAAAACATCTCAAATAACTTTTTAAAAGCTAGTTAAGTCATTTCAAATAGCTTTCTAAAAAGCTAATTTATAAACTTATGGTATCAAGTATCAACAAACACTACATTACAATAAATTAAAAAAATAAGATAGTTTATCAGCATTCACGACCAATCCAATCTAACTCAACATTCAACCATATATCATTTCATTGTAATGTTTTCCAATTAAAAAAAAAAAATCAAATATCTTACTAAAATGGAACAAAAGAACCTAATGCTTAAACCTCTTGGAACAATTTGATAATACAAGATAAAACTTTATTAGATACACAAACAACCAATAAAGTGCAAATCCTGTGACAAAAATACCCAAAACTGATCTAAAAAGAAATCCGTAAAGGGATTTTATAACTTGTGTTATTAATCTTCATAATAAATGCATTTCACATTTAATTATGGTAAAAAATTTTGTAATTAATACTCGTAGTAATAGAAATAGAAACAGAAGAAAAACATTGTTTTTTATTTCCACCAAATCAATAAAACCGTTATATACAACATGAGGCCAAGATTTCCATATTTTGCATAAAGAAGAACAATCAATAATGGTTTAGTAGGCAATAAATAACTAGTTAAACAAAGAACAGGGATAACTTGGAACACAAAATGTGTTCAATCCCCCCAAACTTAGAAATTCAATATACAGATAATAGAGATTATTAAGTTAGCTTAAGATCAAATAAGACTTGAAAGTATTTCTACTATGCACAATTATCTCTCTGATAATACCAACATTTATGTACATTTGATAGTGCTTCCATTGTCAACGGTTAGAGGTAAGGTACTCACAGTTTTCAGATCGGAAATTAGTCATCAACTCTGCTTCCTCCGCCACCTCCCAACACCCTTTTCAGATCTGATTTCTGGTCTCCGGTGAGCCTTGAAGGGAATTTGATATCGATCTTGATCCTCAGGTTCCCTTTCTTACCAGGTTCTTTAGAAATTGGCATTCCTTCGTTCTGAATCACTTCCTCATGGCCTGGTTTGATCACTTCAGTCAACGGAATCATGAGCTGTCTGCCGTCCAACGTCACCACCTTGATTGTTCTTCCGGTGAGAGCTTCCAAGAGTGTGATTCGTTTGGTGAAGACTAGATCGTTTCCATCTCGTTTGAAAACGTCATGAGGCTTCTCGTCTACAACGAAGATAAGATCTCCGGGAGCAGCTCCGGGTTCTTGGTTGCCCTTTTCCGGGAATGTTATCTTCGTTCCTTTTTTCCAGCCTGGTTTGATGTGTATCGGCAATATCTCTTCGAGAGTCCCTGGTTTGCTGCAATTGCAACTCCAATACTAATGTTTTAGAATTAAGAGATCTAATTCCGTTTCTGAAAACAGAAGAATTCAGCAATGCAGATGCAGTAGCAAAAAAACAATTTCAAGGGATTAGTTGATAAAAATGTTCATCAATGGAATCCTAAACTTAAATTTGATGCGAGTGGTGAAAAAGTATGTTGGATTAAAAGGCCATACCCGGAATCATCAAGAACAATTCTCGAAATCTGCATTTTACGTTTGGAACCTTTATAAAGCTCCTCCAAACTACAACTAAGTTTATTCTCTACCGTCTCCGCTTTCCTCACACTCTTTTGATTAGAATTCTTCAACACTCCAGCTGGATTCCCCTTCTTCTTCCCACCGCCGCCGCCGCCTCCGCCGCCAGCATCAGATCCGTAGAAAAATTCAGCGAAAATCTCATCTGCATCACGCGGATCAAACCTAAATCTCGACGTGGATTTCGTTGTGCCTCTATAAGTAGGAGACGATTCATCAAATTGGCCCGATTTGAGACCTTCCTCCCCGTATGAATCATAGATCTGACGCTTTTTGGGGTCGCTGAGGACATAATACGCCTCAGATATCTGCTTAAACTTGGATTCAGCGACTTTATCATCAGTGGAAGCAATGTTCTTGTCAGGATGCCATTTCATGGCCAATTTCTTGTACGCTTTCTTCAAATCTTCATCGCTAACTGTGCGATTGACTTTGAGTATGTTGTAGTAATCGACACCCATGATTTAATTTTGATTTCCCCCAAAAATTCTCGAACAAAATGAAGAATTTGGGTATGTATGTATATGTATATATGAATATGAACGGTGATATCTATATGATATGTGGATCACAATGTATAGGTGGCAACGATTAGACGGACAAATCACGGCGTGTCGGCCGGTCGTTAAATAATTAACGTGTTCTTGACAGTGAGGGTGGGCTATGTTAGAGTTACATGTACGCCTCAATTTCTATGATTTTACTAAATTTTATTCTATTAAATAAGAGAAATTAAATATCCTCCTGATACAACACTTTTTTTTTAGTTTAAAAATAAAATTTTTCTAAAATTAATTTTATGACAAGATCACTAGTGAGATGGAGGAAATTGTAAAGTCTCGATATTTTCAGGAGAGTTGTACTTTAGTTCCAAAAAAGACAAAATTTCAAAAATGGTCCTTGTGGTATGCATTTTTTTGGGGTTTTAGTCCAAATCTCGACTTTTTTGGATCGGTGGTCCTTATGAGCTGGTTTGTTTGTAGTTTTGGTCCCTCGGAAAACATAAAAGACTAATTACCCTTGAGGTATTTCTTTTTTCATTTTTCTTTCATTTTTTTTCTCTATTTTTATAATTAAAAAAGTTAAGAAATCTCTCTGTCCCATCTCAAGAAATCTTGAGAGAAACCCGTCATCATCATACTTTCAAAGAATAGATCTCACAAAACATAAACAAACCACGACCACTTTAACCTCCACATACTAGTCTTCCCTTAATCAAATGAAAAAAAACCAAGAATGCCTCGCCGGAATTAACCAAGGAGACAACCGGAGCCACCATAGCTATAGTTGATAAAATGGTTGGGAAGGATGGGTAGAAATCAGAAGTCTATAATCGAACTCCATGAACAGATTATATCTAAAACTGAAGATCTACACTCACACACTAATCCTCTGTTTTCATTATCTGTTTTTTTTTCCCTGGACTCAACACCCCGCTTTGAATTTCTTTTTCTCCTCCGGTGAATTGTTTTGTCCAACAGATGTTGACATCTTTTTGAGTATTCTTCTTTCTCAATATTTTTAACAATGAACACAAAATCAAAAACCTTATTACAAATAAAACAACTACAGGGAATCAATGTCAAAATTCAATCAAGCCCATCAAATCTACAACAGATCAATTCATATAAAAGGGGAGTGAAGTTCATCGTTTTTTACATCAAACCTTAAAATCGAGTTCAAAGGAAGGTCAAGGTTGCCACGTTCATCGCTATTACCTGGTGATCATTAAGAAGATGGGGCCAAAGCATCTTTTCAATATCGTTTACATGCTCTTTTATCCCAAAAAACAAGATACATTTCAGATTCTGTCTTGCAAAGAAATCAAAATCCCTACAAATAAAGGTCCAACAGTGGATGACACAAGTTGTGAAAAAAGGATTAATCCCAAACACAATCCCGATCTTCATAGAACTAAAACATCTCATTGAGAGCACAAACAACCCTCTTTTTAGGATCCCTAATGGAATGCCTTCGAATCCTTCTCAAAGACTACAAAAATGAGATCGATCAGATGCTCGTTGCCGATAAACAGCTCCAGAAAGAGCTAGTTTACGATATACAAAAATACGAGTCAATGAAGTCGAGATCCACGGCGGCTAAAGTTGTTGGGAAGGGCGTGAATGGAAATAACGTGATTGCGACCTCGAAAGTAACGTCGACAGTGGTTGGTGCATTGGCGGAGGTGACGACTAGGTCTGTGTTGAGGGGTGTGAACCAGGGTGTAGGGATGTCGTCGCTTAGTGCCATTAATGTGTCAAAGCTTAAGTCGACTACAGTGGGTGTAAGCAAGCTTAAAGGGAAGTAGGCGACGGTGCTTGAGTCTTTGAGGAGAAGACAATATTTTGAGAGAGAGAGAGAGAGAGAGAGAGAGAGAGAGAGAGATTTATTTAATAAAACATTAAATTAAATAAAAAAACATAAAAAAAATATATCAGAAGGGCATTAAAGTCATTTCACTATTCAGATGGACCAAAAACGCAACGAAACTAGCTCAAAAGGACCATCAATCCAAAAAAATCGTGGTTTGGACTAAAACCCCAAAAAAATACATACTACAGGGACCATTTTTGCAATTTTGTCAAAAAAAAAATTGAACATAAAAAGTCCCAATTATTTGTAAAAACACGATAATATGTCATTTTCTGTTAAAAGAAAAAAAAAATTCTGTAAACTTGAGCCAAAATAAAGTAATCGAGACTTTTATGTTAAAAAAAATCTTAAGACTAAAATGTAATTTTTCCGAAAATATTGAGACTTTTCTGACAATTTTCCATGGGATGGATTCTAAATACATACTATATTTTTTTTGAAACCAGATGTTAATTTGGGTCAATTTCATTTTCAAATGTTTCATATCAATTTATTATATATATTTAACAGATTAGTATTGTTTTTAAAGTTATTAGTAGGAAGTGATTTAATGATTTCAAAGTAAGTTAGGATGTCATATCATTATATATTTTTCGGCTGAAACGTTATTTCGGCTGAAATATTAGTGATGTAATGATTTTCGACTG